ATACTACTACATACTACTACATACTACTACATACTACTACATACTACCTACCTACCTACCTACCTACCTACCTACCTACCTACCTCCCTGCCTACCTACCTACCTACCTACCTACCTACTACTACTTCTACTACTACTGCTACCACTACTTACTACTAACTACTAACTACTAACTGCTAACTGCTACCTACTACTACTACGACTAACTACTAACTACTACTATTTCTACAAGTAGTTCCCAGGCAAGCCGGCGGCGGAAGTTTCCTATAAGAAGAAATTGACCTATAGGAGTGTCCACGTTCTCTCCAACATGCGCGTCCTCCAGTCAAACGCACGCGCTCCGGACTTTTGACCCACGGGATTCCACGTGTGTAAGGTGTGTGCCCCCCTGCAGGATCAGCAGCTCACAACAGCGTACTGGGTTGTATCTTTGCCACGACAAGATCAGCAGCCCACAACGGCGTGTTGAACCAACTGGGCATCTGCAAATGAAAGTTAAGTGCAGTTCCTGCGAGCACGCGAAGTGGGAAGCAAGGATCGGGTGACCCAGTAGCTCCGGCTGGACGAGGTGGAACAACGGGCGGTTGGGTCGGTTCTGTAGCTACGAAAGTGGCGACATGACGCGGGTCACAGCACCGCGCGTCGGAGCAAATGTAGTTACAAAGTATGCACTGAAGTCAGCAAGTGAAGCAGGTACTCACTGAAGTGACCCACGTGTGGAGTCCTTGTACATCTCGACGTCTCACATAGACCAGCTCTGTGAAACCGCAGCGTGGCCAGGGAAAGGCTTTAAGGTCTCGTAGCCTTTCCTTGGCCACGTTGCGGTTTCACAGAGCCAGTCTGTTTGGGACATCAGGATGTGGAAGAACTCTAGACTGACCCCCTAGAAGAACTCTAGATATGGAAGAACTCAAAGTCGCCAGTTCTCAGCTTCCAGCTCTACAGATTGCTCCGCGAACTAAAGTTGTACTAGAAAGTCGCCAGTTCTCAGCTTCCAGCTCTAC